TAAGCATGGTTGCTAAAAATCCAAGGCAATGTAGTAAATAAAAAAACTACTAGAAAAATGAGCAATTAAATCAATTTCATTACTAAACCCCAACAAATTAACCTACATATTCCCCAACAAAATAACTAGAACAAAGGCCGAAATAGCCCACAAATCTAATCAAGTTCAACCCTAAACCCTAAACAAATAATCTAAAAACATGCCAACTAGTATAGAAAAACAATGAATCCTATCAAAGTCTTCAGAGATTTTTCTTGAGCCAAGGCACGAGATTTTCAAAGACAGCACCCCAACCAGCTTGAGTCGGATGCACTGTGTCGAAGAAGAAGTAGTCTTGTGGGTTCGAACACAGCGAGTAGAGCTTCTGTCCGTTGTTATCGACCCAACCACAATCGAAGTCGTCTGTAGTAGGTTCACAACACGGCCTCATTATGTGCTCGAACTTTCTTGTGCCATTATGTGCTGTGTTTGTGCATAAAATTTTAGTCAGTATCTGAATATTCATTCAGAAAATGATAGATAACATAACATAATATTCATTGACATACAAGTACCTAAAACTATATGGGTCTAAAATTTAACACCACTTACAATTCTAAACATGTATGTTATAGGAATTACCTAGTACTATATTGAAATTTAACTGACCTGTGTCGATAACGGACTTGAAGGCGTTGTAAAGATCGACAAGAAGAAACTGAGTGCTCTTAATCTCTTGAGTCAAATTGCCTACAAATCGACTCAAAAGAATATTGTGCTCTGAGGTTCCAAGAGAATAACCAAGGTCACATTTTGTATAGTTAGATTTTGATCTTGTAACAGTCGGTGTGCATTCAAGCGGACTAATATTTGCTACAAGAACTTTCCCAACGCCAATTTCTGCAAGCCTCTTCAATTGTACTGTAAGCTCAGTCGTCACGTTTCTGCAGTAGGCATATACATCCTTTTTGATGGGGAAAAAATCGGAATTAGATATGTTAGCCAAAATTTTTTTTTTTACAATATGACTATGTACAAAGATGCCAAATACTCGAATCATGGCAAAATTTAAATGTCACATATGTTCATATTTGATATGTATTACAAATTAATTTGAAATATGCATTTCAGATGGAATTATCTAAGACGAAAATGACAAATATATTTCACTTTTTTTTGTTTTTTGTCTTTAATTTGTATGTAATTATTCTTCCTATAATACATAGACATGAGTGGACTAATGCAGTGAATTTGCAATCATTCCAGATTCCAGTAACAAAAAAGAGAGTTTTGATATGTGACTTACAAATAAACTGTGGTTATTGGCGTAAAAACTGTAGTCGTTGCCAGAGATGGCGACATACACAACAGAGGACTTAACGTCGTGATGAGAGAAGACATTCTCGTTGATTTGGGCTTGGAATGCGTCGATTTGGGCTGAGAGTTTGCGTTGATCGTTAGGCGTGTAAAAAACACCAGAGCCTCCAACAGCAAAGTTCATGCCGTAGGGGTGCTTGGTGCTGAGCTTGCGGTATTTGTATGGGGTTGGAGTTCTGAGTCTTAGGTAAGTAGCTGCAAAAGAAATTTTAATCTTAGTATATATTAGTGCAAAATTATTAAATTAGAAGGATTTCTTGATGGGCAATAATGATAATAGGAGTTGGATATATAAGATGTCATGCAAAATGAATATATCAAATGTTAAATGCATTTTATTTTAGAAAAAGGAATTTAGCCTTGGAGTCATAAGTCTGGATTAGTACAATCACAGTCACTAAAGCAAACAATATGAGAGAGACCATCCAAAACTTCTAGTCTTATTAAGACCAAGAGTTAGATGAAAATTTCGTATATTTTTATCTCAAAGTTGTTATACAAATTATATCAATTACAAGTTGCAAAGCAAAACTAACATTGCTAGTGATTTCTTAAGAATACGCGATCATGGAAAGTCAAAGAGAACATAACATCCGGCTTAAATGGAAAAAGAAAAAGACCCTAATGCAGCAATTCTTGGGTATGAAAATACAAAACATAGTAGTTTTTGGGAGATCAGACTAAAATTAGAGATAAGAGGCAAAAATGAAACAAAGTATAACGATCAGTATCTTTTCTGAACTAGTGAATTGTATTGCACGTTCACAAGTGAGACAACAGGATACAAATGCAACAATATCAAATCATAAACAAAGAATGCTGACTAATATAAAAGGAGAAAGAACGAACCGAGATAATCAGTGAAGATGATGCCATCGGAGAATCGTCCAGCTGGCCGATGAGGGTACGACATACCATAAGGCTCGTACCAGGGGCGCGAATGCCTCTCACCAATCTTCCCCATATTTCCAGTGTCCGCATAAGAATCTCCAAACACAAACAATTTCCTATGCCCATACTTCTTATGATGTCCATGATGATCACAACCATTCACCTCAGTTAATGCTAATCAAAAAACAAAAACAGAAGAAGAAAAAAATTAGGAAAATGTTGAAGATATATAATGGAGGTTTTAAGCAAAAGAAATCTTACTTATGGCGAGGAGAGCAAAGAGGAAGGCAATGAAGAAGAGGGACTTCATTTTCTCTACGGTGGTGGATTGAGAGCTGATGCAAAGTTGAGAGGAGGGAGTGAGTATTTATAGGCCTCATTAGAGATTTGTGTTTCCAGTATGGTTGTTCCGTTTGTGATTGTATTATTTGATATCGGTGTATCGAAATTTTAACAGGTTAACAGTTTTAGTGTTATCTTCAGAGATCACTTTACATTTTATTTGAACATCTGCGTATCTATTTCATATTCAACCTCTTTTCTATTTTTGTTAAGCAAGTACGTAACTTCGTTCATTTCTGTTCTCATCTTCAATCAACAATATACGCACATTGATTCATTTTAACCAGAGTTTTGAGAATATTCTCCCCGCCCTCCAAAAAAAACAGTCTCTTAACCCCATTGGTCTTATCTAATTTTAGTTTCGTTGTGCTTATCTTCAATCAACAAGAGATATACGCGATCATTCATTTTAATCAGATTTTTGAGAATACTCTCTCTCTCTCTCTCTCTCTCTCTATATATATATATATATATATTATATATATATATATATATATATATATATATAACACAAATTTCAATCCTTAACCTCATGAATTTTATCCATTTCATGTACTCTCTTCCCCTCTCAAAATTTTCCGAATCATGATCCCAACGCCTCTAATAAACCTCAAAGATCGAAGAAGTCCATGCAGATTAATCTCAATTATGAAGTCATCCATATATTCACAGGAACCTACCGGTCTAAATAGACCCATTAATGAGTGCATTATTTCATGTATTCGTATTCATAGACCCATCTACATTTGTAAGTCACTGATTGGATTCTTTAACCCAACCCTTGACAAAAATTTTAACAGCATATCGAACATGGATAAATTCTAGAGGATCTTTCCCAGGATAAAGTTTAGGAACCCCCTCTCTCTACCTTTGCACCAAATGAGCCCTATAATGATCATTAGCGGACCCATTCTCAGTAGACTACATTCATTCAGTATCAATTTTGGGTTACACCGTAACAGAATGCAATCAGCGCTGGCACTTCACTCGTTGATACGTACATAAAGTGCCATAATACTCTCGTGCTACTTGGAGAGAGGTCAAGATTGCGAAGAGAGAGCTAGCAGAGTCCGTGGTTAAACTTGTTTGATCAGTATGTTCTCCAGATGTAGCTGATCCTTTGAAGGAGCAAAGTTGGTCATTGAGGGTGCAAAATTATCGAGGCGTAATGTCATGGAACAAAATGATACCGGGGG